AAACTGAGCCTGAATAGGTACTTTGTAGGATTAATTTCTGTCCTTGTTTTATGTATTTTTACTGATGGGTAAAATTATGGAAATCGACTTGTACCAGCACAAAACGTGTTTTATTATTTAAAATGAAATCAGGAAGACTGCACTGGATGCAAGGTAGCATTATTTAAGTTTCCCTCAGAGAAGTAACAGGCAAACAACTGCAAATCTTTGCCTGCGTAACAGTTTGTGGAGGATGCTACATTGCCCATCATGGTCACCAGCAGTAGCATTGTGATATTAGCTGCAGAGATAAAATTTCTTCCAGAAGGACAAACTGCTCTAAACAGAGATGCAAAAAAGTGTTTGTTAGTGGCATAAGTTCATGATGAAATGGGTTGTTTGGATCCCATCTACTAGTGGGCAGTGGTACAAATGAACTCTAGCCAGTCCCTCACCAGTCATCAGCCAGATGTTTATATTCAAAGTTATACACTTTTTCATATGCATCATTAAGATCCATTTAGATTAATCCAGTGCTCAGTTATATTATATGCCTATGTCATAGTACTTCCAGAATGTCCAGACTAGTTATTTTTGCAGTTAATGCTGAAATTAATACAAATATATCACACTAATTGTCACACTTTTTAGCTGTCATGCTGACAGGTCAAGTGCTGAATGGGTCATGGAAACTGAAATAACCTCTCACTTTCAAAACAGTCCTTGTCAATCAGAATTGAGGCACACTGGAAGGACAGCGTAGGGAATCTTGCACTGGTGCTTTAGCTGCATTAGTTTTTTGGAGGATGGTTGTTTATCCTCTCTGCAGCTTAAGAGAGGTTGGCAGAGGTGTCAGAAATTCTTTGTAAGGACTAAATTCACATATGGTCACTTAGACATGTTCTTCATAAAAATGTAAATGTGATGCAAACTATATAAATTATAATAATTTTAATGCTAAAAACCTTTTTTTTTTTCAACAAAGAAGAAGTACAGACAAAGATGCAATAATTTATTGTTAGTATAACTGAAATCTTACTAATTTAATCCAATTCTAATTTTTTATAGAAAAAGAAATGATACTAATAGTGTTGGAATTGTTATACTCCCTAGTTGCTCCCTATTTTTCTGGTGTTGTGCTCACCCTGAGTCTTCTCCTTGAGGTCCTAAGGCTGATGGTTTCCTTCTGGTGTATGTAGAAGTTGTAATAGGGACTTGTTGGCACCTAGAGTCCTTCTGTAAGGGGAATGGGATGCTCATGCTTACCATCCTTATCCTCATTCTGTGGTCCAATTTGAGTCATTTTTATGTGATTCTTAAAATGTTTTCACATCTTTGCTTTCTCTTCACTGCTCTGCACCTCCATGTTACTTGGATATTTGCTACCTTTACCACTAAACCAAGTTTTGCTGAGCTCCAGGCCTTCTTTTCTATATCTGACCACGGGTGAATTGCTTCAAGCCATGGGGTCTTCAGTCCCAGCCTATGCTAGGATTTATTATTCCATGTCTGTGCTCATCTTTGCAGCATCCTGTGTTCCTACCTCTCAAGGGCTTGGATGTCATACCAGACCTGTATTTTTCTATATTACAGCATTGTGTTAGAATCTGTTCCCACTAAATTAAGGGGAAAGAAAGCTCCAGACAGGTCAAGACAAGTTCAGGGAGAGCAAGGTTGACAGTCTTCAATTCTTAGGTCCTGCAATCTCAGTGCAGAGCTTATAGCCTTTTACTAGCAATAGTAATACTCTATTACAGGAATACAGGACAACAACAGATCCTGTCTCTGTTCCATTTGCTGAGTGTTTAAAAGTAAAAATATTTTTCTTAGGCCAGTGTGCTTGCTCTGTAAGGACAATATACATCTATGAAATGTTTCTGTGAACATTTATAGATCCCAGCCCTTTATGGTGTAATTTCACTCCAGTCATTCTTTGCAATAAGTTTCTGACTGACATACACTTACACACAAAATAGCATTTATTTTACTTTTAATCAGAAAGAACATCTGACATCTCAGAATTACAGATGAGTAGGCAGCGAAGTCTCCACATTTGAAAAAGCTCCCTTTTTCCTTTGACATTTACCCTGGAAAGGATATTTGACATCAAGGGCTGGATGTATGGAAAGAAAATACAAAGAACAAGAGGAAATAGTTACTGATTGGCTCTGATTGCAAATGAAATATAGAACCTGGGGTCTCTCTATCTTTTTGGAAAGTCCTAAACTGACACCAAATGTAATATTCTTCCTAACCCCTTCCTGACATCAGATAGTTATTACATTCTTCTTTTTCCTTGCAATATTTTGAAATGAAAGAGGTAGTGCCACCTGCTGTGAATATTTAAACCTTTATCTCTCACAGCTTTCTGAGAATGAATAGGCTCATTTATTTTAATGTAACTCCCTTTAGTATGCACTTCAGGTATGCAATCTAAACTACCCAAGTCATCAGCAGAATAGTAGATAAAACAACTCACAGAACTATCACATAGAATGAAACCAGGAAAATGTGTCAGACCAGTGTAAAAAATACAGAATTCCTGTCTGTTTGTAACTGTATGGGAATAATTTTAATTTCTGCTTAACTGCTGTTTTGCTCTCTCTGCTGGTTGCCAGCTGGTGTGGACTCAGTTCAATGTGTTCAGTGTTAAATGTTAAAGTCCTGTGTGGTTGCATCCTTGTTATTTAGCTCAGTTCAGTTTTCAGATGAATAAATGCAATAAGAAGGTTGTTCCTTTTCAACCTCCCAAGCATGTTCTGGTTCACCTGTGCAAAACGAAGCTATAGTTAGGACATGTTGCATTCTTTTGGAATTGAACTGACTCCATGGAATGGTACATAAACTTGAACAACTGTAACCTTCTTGCAGTTCTACAAGTGCTTCAGAAACATGGTGATGAACAAAATTTAACTATCTTTATGACTTCAGCTGCTGTTATTTCAAAAATGCCCATGCTATGACATGGGATAGTTTTCAAACTAGTTAATTATAGCAGGAATGGGACATCATTAGTCTAGTCTGTGGCTGAGCAAAATCTTGTTTATATAACATTAAAGACAAGGAGTTAAATACAAGTCTAGCATGCTGCACACCTTTGAAAGGCTTTGTGATTCATTTTATGTTTCACAGTGGAGTGTATAATACTGCTTGTGCTATCCGTGTCTTATCTTGTCCTTTGCAAGTATGCTGTGAATACTGAGTATAAGGAGTTAATGGTAACCATTCAAATAGTGTTATTTCAATTAAAATGTCTTCAGTAAATGAGATAAATTTTCTATTCTGTTGAACATATTTCACGATAACCATTTAGGGTAGTCAGTATACTCTATATAGGATTTTGTTTTTTCTAACTGACCTGGGTACCCTGTGTTATAAATTCTCCAAAATGTTTTCCATTCCCCTAGATTTCAGTACTGCAAAGATTTTTAAGCCAACATTCCTCTTAAATAGATTGACCTTATTAATTTTTGTCTTTCTTGTCCTGACCAACTACACCCACAGTGTGAATAGAAGTGGGTGTTCAGCCACACTGCTGTCACCGTTTCATGTAGTCTATATCACACATATGCCATGATTCAGAGCTAAAAGGCTATAGGACAGCAAATCTCAAATGCATTAGTAAGTTATTTTACCTTCCTGTTGTATTACTTGTATCTCAAGCTCTGACTGTATGATTTGCTGACACCAAACTGTCAAAATGTATACATAGTTAACCACCAAAGACTAACTGACCTTACTTTTTGTGTCCTAATTAGCACCTCTTCCTTCTGTCGACAGCTAAGTTACTACTTGCATTAGAGCCTAAGATACTTTCATTCCTACCGGCCAAATTGTTTCCACAGATCATCTATCACCACCTGAATGCCTAATATGGCCATGGTTTTCCTCAGGTAACAGCATTTCCTGCTTACTCCACCTATAAATCTCTGACATGGTTTGAAATAATTTTATCTCTATTTTGTCTTTACCTCTTTTATCAATTAGATACAGCAGCATTTTAGTCAGAGGAAATTAGTATGTACTTTGAGATTAATAGATCTTCCTTCCACCTTCCAATTTAAACTGATTGAGCAACTTTTCACCTCCTTTCTTCTTTGTGCTAATGATTTGTGCTGCATGTGACACATGTAGAATATCCACAATCATTGAATGATCTAGTTCTACAATTCTCTTCATTTTCTTCCTTTTTCTCTGTTTTCTTCATTATTTTGATTATTCCCACATGCGTTGTATTAGATACAAGCAGGAAAGAGAGGGAAAGAACTTTGAGTGGTCCTGTGTGGAGCCAAGGGTTGACTCACTGAACTTTATGTGTCCCTTCCAACTCATAATATTCTATGATTCTAATACTCTAATAAATGAAATGGTTAACATCCTCCAGCAACATCCTGTTCTTAAGCTTTTGCTCTTTTCAAAACATAAAGCACCAAAGCATGTCCACCAGAAACAGAAATGTTTGAATTTTCTGTTACAGCCAGAATCTTTGATCCAAAGAAATGCATGGCCATCTTTCTGAGCCAAAAGCAAACTCAGCAAAACAGGAGAAATACCCAGATTTAATTTGAGAAATGGAGCCATTCTGACAATAAGAGTTAACAGAAAGCCATTAAACCATATTGATTAACTGAACTAATAACTGATTTGAATTAAAAAAAGAAAGAAAAAAAAAATAAAGGTTTAAATTGTCATGGCTGGAAGGAGTTTTTGGCTTCCTCTTGATTTTACCGTTGTCTCTGTGGACAGGCTGTATGTGTGCAGTGGAAGAAACCACTTGGGATCATCTAATCCAATCTCCCTTCTTTAAGCTGAGTCACCAAGAACACATTTCCTTGGATCACAATGAGACATTGAGACAGGTCTTGAACACCTCCACAGAAGAAGTCTCCACAGCCTCTCTGGGCAGTGTGTTCCAGTACTTTGTCACTCTCACAGTGAAGATGTTTTCATGTGCAGATGGAACTGTCTGTGTTCCAGTCTGACACTGTTGCCCTTTTTCCTGTTGCTAGGATCCACAGCAAACCACCTGGCCCCATCCCACTGATACTCTCCCTTAAAATATTTGTACACTTTAATAAGATCCCTTATCTATCTTTTCCAGTCTAAACAGGCCCAGGCAATACAAAAGGAAGAATGTATTCTGCTCTATGTTTCAAGGTAGGGAACCAGAAACAGAGGAAGCAAGAAAAATCTCCTAGACAGTGTTTATGCTGTATCGTGCTTCTTTGATAGCGCCGTTTGTAAAATTACCTTAGACAGGCAAACTCCTTGAAAACTTGAAGGCATAGTGCAAAGCAAACAGTCTCATCATAGTTAGATAGATGCAGTTACACAGCAGGCGCGTGGCAGCAGAACTCACAGCTCCTTTCTCTGGAGAAAGGCATGCAGCACTAAAAACAGTAACAAGCTTTTAGCAAAGATGCCACTGATGACCTGTTTTATCAAAGTGACAGACTAGCTGCAGTGTTGCCGAAACTGTAGGTTTCTTTCTTTAATTTCCAATCCAACTGCCCCATTTCAAAGAAAACACATAGCATCAAGTGAATACAAAGACAGCGATCCCATAGAGCTTCTTCTGATAAGGGCTGCCAAAAACACAGGGGAAAAAATGTCTTCTTTGATTTAGTTGCATACTGTTTTTCTGCAGGTTGCTTTTGTTTGTTTGCTTGTTTGTTTGTTTATAAAGAACCCTTCACTGATATGCTTCAACTACACAACTGCTGGAGTAAAGGCACAGATTCTCCCAAACGACAGTCTGTATCTGAAAACAGAAGTTGAATAATTGACACTAAAAATAAAAACAATTGTTTTCATTTAGAAGTTTTTGTCCTCTGAGATAAACACAGAAGAAAGACAGATTTCTCAAACATGAGTCTTTGAAAGTAAGTTTAGCATATTTTTTTAATTTTTTTATAAATAACTTTCCAACAAAAAATGGGAGCTCTTTAACCTTATTTGACAGAGTATCTCAAATATAAAATTTGTTATTTACTAGACTTCCTCTAGATAAAGGGAGGAAAACCAAAGAAGTACCCTGATTCTGTCTTTGAAAAAGTCTATAACATTTAGCTGCAGATATACTTCTGGCATAGTTTCGAATGCTGATTTCAACTGAGTGTATTCATTGGGATATAAGTCTCTATTTTCCAGTTCAGTGCTGCATAGAAGACTCTGCTCATTTGCTGTGGTTTGAGCAGTTTTGGTATGCTGTTATATCATCATGCAGAGGCAATGCAGGGATAGTTAGGCTTTCTAAAGAACGTACAACTCCCTGCCTTGGAGATGCTGCAAATTGAAAACTACAGCATTAATGCGTGTAAATAGATAGATAGATAGATAGATAGATAGATAGATAGATAGATAAATGTAAGAAAGAAGAAAGGAAGAAGGTTTCCTTCTCACCTTATCGTTCGAAGGTACCTTAAAGATCATATGCCCCTGTCATAGGCAGAGTTGTCACCAGCAGCTCAGGCCAGGGCCCCTTCAACTTGGCCTTGAATGCCTGCAGGGATGGGGCACCCACAACTTCTCTGGGCAGCTTGTACCAGTTCTTCACCACCCTCTCAGTTATTATTATTATTTTTTTTCCTAAAATCTAACTTAAATTTCTCTTCTTTTAGTTTAAAGACATTCTTCCTTGTCCTATCACTATCAGACTGTATAAAAAGTCAGTTCTCTTCTGCTTGTAAGCTCCCATCAAGTACAGGAAGACCTCAATGAGATCTCTCTGGAGCCTTCTCTTCTCCAAGCTAAACAAGCCCAGCTCCCCTCACCTTTCTTCACAGGAGAGGGTGCTCCAGCCCTCTGATCATCTTTGCGGCCTTTCTCTGGACTCAATCCAACAGGTCTGTGTCTTTCTCATTCTGGACACCCTAGAGCTGAACATAGTATTTCTCACAAGAGAAGAGTAGAGGGGGACAATGCCATCCCTCTCCCTGCTGGCCCCCCCTCTGTTGATGCAGCCCACAGTACAGTTGGCTTTCCAGACTGCAAGAGCACACTTCTGGTTCATGTCCAGCTTCTCCCTCATTAGGACCCCCCAAGTCCTCCACAGTGCAGTTCTGTACCCCTATCCAGGATTGTTCTGATCCATGCAGAGAACACTGTGCTTGGCCTTGCTGAACTCCAATATATTTAGAAAGGTTCATTTCTCAAGACTGTCCATTCATTCAACTGGTCTGTTCTCCTTCTGTCTGGTTACCAGTTTACAGGGATTGCAGATAATACTACCTGTCCTCTCTATCCTTTCTGCGTCTTCCCAAGGGACATAAAGTCTTTCTTGATTTTTTTTAATGTTTCCTAGTTGCAGTCTCCTACATCTTGAAAGGAGTGATGAGCAGTCCTTTATCATACCTGTAAGGTAGATTCTTTCTGGTGTTCCTGGACTGTGAAACAGTATGCTGGAAGAAAATGCTGGCTACTATTCAAAGTTTTTATAAGTACACACTTATTCAATCTGAACTATGAAAGCATTTTATGTGGGAGCTGCTGGCATTTCTGGTAAGTGGTCTTAATCTGTCTTAATACTATCATAGGCTCCTCTTGCCTAGAATGTTGCTTAGGAAACAATGTATGAATGGGATGAGGTCTCACAAAAGTCAGCATTGTATCTGGGTTATTTATTTTTCTCTTGAAAGAAGTGCCCATCCAATGCCTTAGGCAAATGTGCATAAAACTTGAAGCAATCCCATCAGTGTTTCCTGAGGTAACCGAGCAGCTGGTCTGAACAGGAACAGCTTTCACTTGGGATCTTGATTGTTCCCAGTGCAGCTCTTTTCCTCCCACAAAGGTGCATCTCAGCAGACCTGCTGAAAGTCTTACATAACATACAGGCTCTCATGGCAAACTGGTCTCCAAATCTGCTTTTAGCTTCTGTGGCAGTTTTACTACTCTAGAGATTTCTGAGCTTCTGTACTTTGCTCTTACAGAGAGAGGTATGGTGGGAAGGATAAACACAAAAAGTAGCAAAACAGTGGTGCATATGAACCTGGCAGTGAAGAAGAGCAGAAGGGGAGTTAAAAGATGGATTTTTTTTCAGAAGATAAGAGGACTCAGATGTCTGTATAAAAAAAGAAAGAACTCCTCTTGAAACATGCTTTTGCCTCACCTCTGCCAATAAGCATAAAAAAAAAAAAAAAAAAAAAAAAAAAAAAAAAAAAAAAACCCCCCCCAAAAAAAAACATTCACACCTCCAATTATTCCTTTTCCCTTAAATTCTAAAAAAAAAAAAAAAAAAAAAAAAAAAAAAAAAAAAAAAAAAAAAAAAGCCAGCTAAAGAAAAGTTGGTATCCCTTTGTTAGAGAGACAGGAGACTATCCTTGTGTTTTGAGGCTCACACAGCTATAGAAGTTATTCATATATTCACATTGCAAAAGTCAAATCAGCCTTAATTATAGTAGTAATCTGGTGGCAGATTTCTTTGTCATCATATTAAATGATTACATTTATATAAGCTCAGTAAGAATAGTCTGGTGGAATGGGATTTTGATCCAGTTTTAATTTACCTGAATGTAGATGTTTAAAGAAAAAAAATAGGTATGTGAATTTCCATTTAAATACAGTCATTGAAGTCCAGAGAACAAATCAACAAACCAAACTCCAAGTCTCCATAAAGACATACTGAATTGTTTTCCAGGCTCCTCAGACTGTCTGTCCTCCCAGAGCTCCAGAGCACCACAGGATGATCTCACCTTGTGCTCATGAGTCACTGATTTCAGAAGCTGTGTCTTTCTCCTACCCCTCAGCAATACACCTGTACGTAGACACAAAATTCAATATGTATAAAGTATTTTCAATATAGCTTAGTATAGTGAGGTAAGTCAAGATTACTGAGAGAAGATAGACGGAGGCAGCCTAATTTCAGGGCAACAGCCTTTTAGCTTAAGGGACTTAGTCTCAGACTAATCTCTCTGCTTAGACCTCAAATAGAATTAGCTGAATTTTCAGAGGGGGGGAGTACTATCAGTTCTGGTGAGATCAATGTTTGCTATTACAGACTAAGGAAAGTTTTAGAAATAGCTTGGGCAACAGATCTAACTGCAAAAGAAATAACAATGTTTATTTCAAAATCAAAATAATTATATACATACTCACAGTTGATGGTGTAAAATCAGACCCTGGAAAGCTAGAATAATCCTTCTATGCAGAGCAATATTTAAAAATCCGTAAAAGATCTCTGTTAATTCATATTTCAGGAACAATAATTAATGATAATAATAATAATAAATATAAGGAAACTTACACAAATTGAAAAAATCTTAATGGATGGAATTTCATGAGAAAACATCAAATCTTAAAGAGACACAGCATCTTATGATAATCTCAGCAAGAGAGCTCCAGGACTGTCTTGCAATTTTTTTTTTTTTTTTTTTTTTTGGCAGGGGCAAAAAGAAGAATAATTTCTTATGCATCCAGGCAAAGGAGCCAGTAACATGCAAATGTGCACACAGAAGAAAAGAGGTGCCTGGAAGTGAAACCGTTTATGGATGTGAGGCTTTCCATTATCATATTTGTGGATCTACATTTAACTGAAGAATCAGACCATCAAACATCATTGCTGTCTTAATAAACAGTGTGAAGAATGTACCTTCCTCCGTACCAAGAATACTATTAATATTGCATGAAAATTATCTACAGATTGTCTGTTCATATATTCATGTCTATGTACACATACAATTATGCAGCTAGCATGGCTTTTTTTTTTTTTTTTTTTTCATTCTGATATAAGTCACATTTACGTTTTAAAGTCATTGCAGATCTAAGGGTAAATGAGAGGAGAATAAAGCTTTTTTTTTCTTTTTTTTTTTTTTTTTCCTTGTTTTAGTTTGATTTTTTTCTTTTTTTGTTGTTGTTGTTTATTTGTTTTCTGGGTTTGAAGCCAAATCTTTGTCTAGCAGAAATTTGTGATTTGAAATATGTATATGTTGGTCATATAATTTTTCCCTTTTTTCAGTTATATATAAAAAGCTGTCAAAAGCACTGCGGTCTTAACTTCAGCCTTTCTAATGTTGGCACAAATTAGTATTCATTTAATTCCACATGGGAAAGTGAGTTAATCAGAGCACATTGGTATAAATGAGAGGAGAATCAGGCATCAAAGGATAACATCTTGGTATCCATTACAGAAGTTGTCAAAATGGATGAAAAAAAAACAAACCTGTTATGTTCATCCAGAGTGTGTACCTTTAAAAGCAGAACTGTCAGTGATTGATGGAGTTCCAATGAAAGATGCAGGAATTATAATACTGTTACATATGTGAATGTGTGTCTGTACATGACAGCCATTTAGTCATAAATGTTGTAAGTTGACCCCGGCATTTTTCTACTGTAAAAAAATATGTAATGAAGTATAAAATAAAGTTAAATATAAAATGCAGTAGTTATCAATTACATTTCAGGTGGGACTCAATAGTTAATGCAGGATAACTATCTCTAAGGAGACATCTCAAAACTATTAACGATTGATTCACCTTTGATCAAATACATATAGCAAATCCATTTACTAGATCTTTCACATTTATGTGACATTTTCAACTGCACAAAGAACAATTAAAGCAGGCCACTGGGACAGTCTCTTTTTTGTTGTGATTCACTACGGGCTGAGGCTTCAGTCATTGTATCTTTTAAAGCTCAACAGTATTTTTCTATGACTTCTAAGGACTTTTCTAGTCTGAGGATTTTAAGATTGTGGTAAAATTTTATTGTTTCCATTGTTCACAGCTGAAGGAGAAGGCTATTTGTTTTACTAAGATAAGGCTTCTAAAACATTCTGCCTAAAAAAAAAAAAAAAAAGAAGAAGAAGAAGAAGAAGAAAACCAGATGATGTTTTCTCTCCTTGTCTAGTTATCTATTATTTGCCAAGAAAACTGAAATGTCATCTTGCCTCCTGGATAAATTATCTTTTTATTTAAAATAGGCAAAAATACTCATATAAATAGAGGTCAGATGAAGAGGTTCAATTTGGAGTAGGTATTGCTAAACACAATGTTATTTAGCTGGACTTTCACTAATTTGAATATTTTCCTCTCCACTTACCTCTTGTTGAATAGTTCTTGATCTTAATACTCTGCGGGTTTCCAGTAAAATCAAGGGGGCCAGAACATCATCATTCCATGTGCTAGCACACAACTGCCTTCCTTCTAGTCCTTGGCACAGCAAGCTTGAACTGTCTCAGATAATGCCCAGGTACAGTCTGTGAGTTAACTCAGGTCAGAGATTATCATCAACAGTTAATTTGTTTGTGGGGACATGATTTAAATGTTAAAGCATCTAGACATTAAGTGTGATCTATATCATGCTGATTTTAAAAAGATTGCTGGCCTGTTTCTTGGTATAGATGTAGTCTTGCAGCCAGGTCACAATTTTACTGGTTTCATACGCTAGGTGGCCTTTCATCATACAATCATAGAATGGTTTGGGTTGGAAGAGACTTTTAAAATCACCTAGTTCCAAACCCCTGCTATAGGCAGGAACAGCTCTCTCTAGACCAGGTTGCTCAAAGCCCCATTTAGCCTGGCCTTAAATGCTTCCAGGGAGGGGGCATCCAAAGCCTCACTGGGCAACCTGTTCCAGTGTCTCACCAACCTCACAGTAAAGAATTCCTTCCTAATATCTAGTCTAAATCTACCCTTTTCCTGTTCAAAACCATTTTCCCTTGTCTGTTGTTACCTGCCCTTATAAAAACTGTCATCAACTTCAAAAAAGGGTTAAAATTTGGAGTGATTTCATTTGTCATACACAGTGTCAAAGACATGATTTGAACTTACTTTGCTGCTGAATAATTATGCTACATCTAAGCCTTCAATATCTTTTTTTATTTCTTTCTCCTGGGTATAATGAAGAACCCCATGAACACACAGGACTATCATCTCACATGAAAACAATGCATTTTGCAAGCTTGAACCTTTGAAGAGCTTTATTTTTAAAGACTGCACAGCCAAACTCTCCCACCTTTACGTGCATCAGTACTCCAGGACATTTTAACATATCGTTGAATCAGCTGCATATGTAAAAACTCTCAAACATAAATCTCATATTGAAATTTGTTCTACAGGGAGATATATCTCAGGTCTCTGTCTTCTTCCTCCCTGCCTTTCTTGCTTGTGAAAGATAAAAAGCCTTTAATTGGTACCTAAAAGACCAGTATATGTGATGACCTGACATAGAAACTCAGTGAATTTAAGTCCAACAATAGTCACCACAGCGTTAACCACTAGCCAGACTTGCACTACCTAATTAGTAAAATCAGCACTGTTTTCTTTGCTAGTCCACCAGCACAGCACTGCTGAAGATCAAGAGACTTTACAGACAAATGGAAACTGGCACCTGAGAAAGACAGCTGGCCATGAAGTTGTTCCTTTTCATACACAGAAAATATTTTTTTTTCTATTTATTTTTTTAATTAGGAAAGGAAATCACTGAATCAAAGAAAAAGGATAAGTGTTAATTTAAAGAAATTATGGAGATATAGGTGACAAATTTTCATCTTTTTTTTTTTTTTAAATATTGCACAAGCAGATGTCAATAGTTTACATTCCTCTAGAATAAATTAACTACAGTGGAACTGAGAATCAGGACAGAGATCTTACCCTTTAACATTTCTTCATCTGAGGCAGAAAAAATGTCCTCATTTCAGCTGGGATGGGACTGATTTTCTTCATAATGTCTGGTATGATGCTATGTTTTTTGCCTTAGAAAGAAAAGTGTTGGTGACACACCAGTGTTTCAGCTATTGATGAGCAGTGCTGAACTGCCAAGGAGCTCAGTTTTTCAACTTCTCATACTGTTCTGCCAGGAATGGGACTTGAGGGGGCACAAGGAACTGAGAAAGGACAGAATCAGGACAGCTGACCTGAACTGTCCAAAGAGATATTCCATACCATATACCATCATGTGAAATAGTTATAAAACAGGGGAGTTGGCCAGGGGGCACATGCTGTTCAAGGACTGGCTGGGCATCTGTTGGTGGGTAATAAACAATTGTGTTGTTTATCTCTTGTGTAAATATGTATATATATATATATATATACTTGCTTTGTGTGTGTATATATATATGTATGTTATTATCATTACTATTATTTTTCCTTTCCTTTACTGTCTTAGTAAGTAGTTGTATCTCAGCCCACAAGTTCTGCTTTGTCTTTTTTCCAAATCTCTCCCCCACCCCACTGGGAGGGGGGAGTTAGAGGATGGTTTTGCAGTGCTTAGCTGCTTGTGAGTTAAAACACAGCGAAAGGATAAGCTCATAATAATGGATGGAATTGCATTATGTAACTAGGATTAGATACGTAGACAAATATTATGTTTTCCTTGTCTTGTACAATTACTTATAAACAAATATCCAGATTGCTTATAAGCAAATATCCAGATGAGAGCTCTGAAGTCTCTGAAATAATGTTCAGTGACACAGATTTGTAAAACTACTTATATGACCAAAAATAAGAGCTTCAGAAGATTTTTGAAGGCTCTTGCCTTTTGAAATTGTGCTTTAAAAAATTCATTTTAGTTAGATTTATGCATCTTTGTTAGTTTAATATCTGAAAATCCTGAAGCATTTCAGTTTTCCTAAACTTTTGATATCTCTTTTATATGCACAGATTGCTGCTGCCTATTTGCTCAAGTGGAGTAAATCACATAGCCAAACTTACATGGTTGAGGAACATAGTATTTTTGTGTGCCGGTTGTGAAAAGTAAGACCCATTTTTTCTTCTCTTTCCCTTTCAGCCAGAATGCAGAGGTCTCAAAGGATGGAAGTGCCAGGTCAAAAGTTAAAAGCATTAACTTTAGATCCTTTCTTCATCTAAGGCATCAGATTCTCTTTTGAGTACCTTCTTTTTGTCTCTATATGAATTCCTGGTGAGAATTTCTCTTCCTTTCAGGCACTATTAGTTGTGTTATATCCTTTGCTTTGAGAAATCTTATTCACTGTCCCATCTACCTGAATTTAATCCTGAGTTTTGGACTGAGGATTTTATTTAGCATAGCTTCTTTGTCTTAATATTTAAATGGACTCGGAAGAGAAGTATACTCTGTTATTCTACTAGATAGATGTCTACTGGGATACTGAAAACATGTTTTATGTGCAATTATTTGCTTACAACTATCTGCCTTACACTATGTTGAAGTTGTTATTTCCTATTGGGGATATTAAAGGAAAATAATAACTCTGAGATTTTTTTACAGCTTTTTTTTATTATTATTATTTGTTTGTTTCACAATTAATTTTAAAATCAGTTCAAAACTGATAAAATAGAATGGAAGGGAACAATTATTTCCTAAGCATATGAAAACTGATAATTTAAAAAATCATGTTAATCCAATATGAATAAGAATATCTTACTATTCCACAAAGATACAGAATTACTGACTCTAGAAAACAGTGGTTGTTTTTGCACAACATGCTCATTGTACTTGTAGCAGTTGGTGTGTAAATTATATAATATAAATCATATACATCTGAGGCATTACACAGGATTAAGCACAGAAGTGATTGTCTGAAGTAGAACATGTGGTGCCATGTGGGTGAATTAGAATTTAGAGCTGAGAACACAGCTCGTACGAAGGTGATTTAATTGAAACAATGCATTAAAAATAACACCTTTGCAGAATTACTTTAATGGATGAGTTTGGAGCAATACTGAGTTGTCAAGTACAGCAAAAAGGTCATCATAAT